ACATCATCTTCATATCGTCGATTTCATATGGATAATCGTTCATTATCACAACGTTTATGGGATATCGATAGTGGTGATGATGAAGATGAAATTGAAGAAGATATAATTAAAGTTGCTGGTAATGAAACACCACCAATAAAAGAACAATTAAATGATTATCATTCAAATAATTTTGAACATGATGATAATATTTTATTACATATCGATGATGATGGAGACGAAGAAAATGAAGAAGGAGGAGGAGAAGAAGAGTCATATAGAAAACAATATGTACATGTATAAACATTTTATTTTATTGTTTTTTTTTTTTTGTTTTTTTGTGATATATTTTTTATTTCAAGCATGAGTAGAAAAATAGCTCAATGTTTATTATTGTCATATTACTTTTTCTTTTCTGTGTCTGTTGTCTTGCTTTTTCTTGAACAGTGCAATGTTTATCTTATTTTGTATTTCAAGTAGTTGATTAATGTTATTCTTTGTTTTGTCGGCTATTTCAAACAGATTAGCATATGAAATCATCACCAAAAAAAATATATAAATATATATTATTATTGATCTGTATTTAATGGTCAATATTAAATTGTAACCATTGCAGACTTTAAGGATATATGAGTCTAATAGCTTTTTGTACATATATAGAGTAATCATATAAAATATTGTCTATAAGAAATAGATAGACGATCTATTTTTGATAATGCATTCATTAATCGATCCTTGTTCTCATTATATCGCAGACAATCCTTCAGAAGGAAAATATACAAATAATGCCACAACCTAAGAATTCAAATAATAATCTGTTCAGATTGGTACATGTGTGACATCTTTATAAAATATTATCTATTTGTGTTTGATAAAATATATTTGCCTCGTATTTAAAATTCAAAATTAATAATGGCTGTATCATGGACGATGATGTTTCGAAAACATCATGGTATTATTATAGAATCTGAAATATGTAAATCGATTTTCAAAGCAATTCATCAACCAAGTCAACAAATTATTTGCGTGTAATATTAATTAATATTAATTATTTTATTCATTACATATATATTATTTTCTAGAAAAAGTCTTTCACTACTTAGTTCATCATCAATTAATGAAGCTTATTTACTTCGTAGTATACTTTCTACTGATGATAATTATAATATTCATCCAAATATTTTATCCCTTTTATCAATTAAATATTTACCAACATTAACAATAAATAATTCAATTTATTTTATTTTTGATTATGCATATAATCGTGATTTAGCAACACATGGTTTATTATATGGTGGTACAGAAAAACAACTAACTAATGAACAAATACAAACATATTTATATCAATTACTTTCAGCGATTAATTTTTGTCATGATCGATTAGTTTATCATTGTGCTATTGAATTAAAACATTTACTTATAACACGTACAGGACAACTTAAATTATCAAATTTTGAATATGCTAAACATGCTGTATTGCCAACAATGAGAATCAATATAAGTGATGTTTCTTGTTTTTCTCAATCGCCACCAGAATTACTTCTTGGTGATCGAACTCTCAATAGTTCATTAGATATGTGGTCAGTTGGATGTGTTTTTGCTCAGTTATGTTCATCAACTCAAATTCAACCATTATTTCATGGTAATCATCA